CCCTCCCTCCCTCCCTCCCTCCCTCCCTTCCTTCCTTCCTTCCTTCCTTCCTTCCTTCCTTCTGATGTATGTGGGCATGCATGTGCCACAGTGAAAGTTGGAGATCAAAGGAGAACTTTTGGGGAGTGGGTCTCATCTTCCACCTTATTTTGTTTGTTTTTGGTATTTGTTTTGTTTTTGAGACAAAACAAATGCCCTGGTTGGCCTGAAACTCACTATATAGACCTGGCTTGCTCCTTGAGCCCATAGAGATTTGCTTGCCTCTGCTTCCAGAATGTTGGGATCAAAGGCATGTGCTACCACACCCAGATTCTACCTTGTTTTGAGGCAGAGTCTCTCTTTGCTGTTTCTCTGCTGCTCACTTTACTCCAAACTAGTCCCACAAGCTTCCAGTGTATTCTCCTGTCTGCCTCCTATCTCAGGGCAGGAGTGTTGGGACTACAGGCGTGTGCCACTGCATCTGCATTCTTACATGGATTATAGAAGATGGAACTCAGTTCATCAGGTGTGTGCAGCTAGCACTTTTAGCACTGAGCCATCTCCCTATCCCAGAACTTAATTAAAACAAAAATATTTTCACAGCTAATGTTCGTGGATCCAACATGCCTCACCTGTGTGGTGCCACATACTCCCTACAATTATTATAGTGCATAATTGATAAGAACAAGAGATAGAAACTGTTCAGGTAGAGCAGGGATCCAAAGCAGCAGTTCCAAGAATGTCTTTGCTGGAGGCCAAAAACGCCAGAGTTCTTGTTTCCTTGTTATCTTCTGAAAGATCACCTCTGTCTAAAGGACTAAAACTGAGAGGAGGCCCCTGAACACGTGGTTGGGCCAACTGGACTGACCAGCTCATCCCCCTCCCCATACCTCACCAAGTTTCTGCCAAAATTTCTTTAAAAAGCCCTCAGACTAGCAGCTTGGTGGCCCTTTTTCCCAGGGCCCCTCTTGCTATACAGGAGCTCTGCTGTCCTCCCTCTGAATCTGTAATAAACGCTCTAAATTTTACCCTCTATGGTCCATGAATTTTGTTCTTCAACTTTGTAAGACAAGAACTGGCTCAGGGCGGCTTTGGAGGACATAGAGTTTCCAGGACCCTAACTGCTCTCCCCTAGCTAAGTCCACTCAAGAGGCAAGAAAATGTCCATGTTTCTCAGACACCCCAGTATTCCCATATCATGATATGCCCCCACTCTTCCAGTTTTGCTAAGCCAAGAGCTGCTGAGTGACTGACCCAGGCTCAGATGCTGGCAGTGCCTTGACCTGGCCCTCTGACTGGAGAGAGACCACTTTAATCTTGGCTCACTGAGTACCCTTTTCCAGTTCCTCTAGAATTAACCAGAAAAGCAAACAAAATCAGCTGTTTATCTGCCTCAAGAACTACCTCTCCCCACAAACATTCTTTGTCCATATTTTTTTTTTCTGCACACACTTTCTACATTGAGAATGTTTGCAGCTCTGACCTACAGCCCACTGTGTGGGAGGAGAAACCTCCTGCCTGGGCCACTTGGGCCAGCAAAATATAGCTCTCTCTTTTCCAGTAATTTTGGATTTGGCTTTCTTTCCCTAGGTCCACAGTGTTCGATTCATGGAGTTTTCAGAAGTGGAGAACCAGGATGACTTCTACAGCACAGGAGCTGGCTGTGTCCACACCCAGGACCAGCAAGGTGCCTATGTCATGTATGATGAAGCCTTGTGGGATCTGGAAGAACTAGAGGCAGAATTGCTGCTCGTTGCCAGCCATTACATTGAGAAAGAAAAAGGTAAGGAGGTAGGCTTAAAAAAATAAAGTGAACTGGCTGTGAATAAAGTGAGCTGGGGGTCAAGCCCCAAAGTTTGGTCGATGTGGCAAGGCCCTGGGTTAGATCCTCAGTGCTGAAAACAAAACAACAGAAACAAACAAAAAAACAGTGTCCAAACAACAGTACTTAAAACTTCAGTAAGCATATTACAGCCTACTGAAGCACTCACCCTCCTTAGAAAGCTCAGTTCCCCTTTCTGATGGAGACTGCTCTTTAAGGGCATCATTGTAATTCCTTCTGTTGTATAGGCTGCTTGTTGCCCTATGAAGTTCTGTATCACCCACTGGGTGGAAGGGATGTGGTGCTGGGCCTTGGAGGAAGCAAAGGAAGCAAGAGAAATGAATGATGTTTTTCCCAAACCAACTGACCTGAGGAAGCTGCCTTTAGAAACAGAGATGTCAGTGGGCTCCTAACAGGAACCACTGAGATGCAGGAAGATCAGGCCAGGAGAACCCAGGCAAGCCCCAAAGGAGGATTAATTACTCAGGGTAATCAAGTAACCTGTATCTAGTCTCTCTCTCTCTCTCTCTTTTTTTTTTTTGTCACCATCACCTAAATTTCCAATTTTAGAAGTCGATGAGGTAAGAATATTTCTTTTGCAACAATGTGATGACATTTAGTATTCCATTTGGAAAGAGCTTAGAATTTCTAGATACATTGCAAACACCTGAAGGGAAATTTAGCAAGAGTTTGTGTTATTTCATAATCTGTGTAGACTATAATTGAGAATAATTTATGTTTATAATGTTATAAAATGCTGCTTGAAGAATGTTTGACAACTAACTTTTCAGATCCCAGAGAGAATTAATTTAACCTAAGACTGAACTCTGTATGTGATCTTTGCTCAAACTGTTAATCTCCGAATCAGGCATCCATCATTAGAGAGGATTTAATTTCAGCTCTTAGCTTTTGTCTTTACTGGTTTTTGTCTTTATTACATAAAACCCATCACTTTTGTTCATATTAGTTTGTAATACCATGTTAACTATTTCTAACTGCTGAGAGTTTAATTTGGTTGAAACACATTTAACCACATGGACATCTTCCAGTGGAGCTAGTAAGTATACAGTCACCCACTGTGAAATAGTTTCTCAACTGCTGCTGTAGCCAATCCTGATCAAAGCGTTCTCTTGCTAAGTACCTGTCACAAACTCAATAATTATTCAGCTCACACATCAGTACCTGGGCATTTCTTGTCTTCTAGTATTTTCTTCTCAAACAGGCCACTTAGAAATTTAAAGCAATAATAATCATGCTAGCAATGAAAACTAACATTAATTATAGTAGAAAATATTTCTGCCAAATAGTGGTGATAAATAACTTTACAGATTTAAGGTGGAAATTAACATAATTAAGGAATATCTTGGAAATTTCTCTGAAAATTTTTGACTTAGTTAACATTAATGAAAATGATAGGGCTTGGGGGATAACTCAGTCAGTACAAGCACTTGCCTTATAAGCATGAAGACCTAAGTTTAATCCTTACAACCAACATAAAAAAAGCTGGCTCTAGTGGCTCACAGTTTGTTAATTCCAGTGCTGGGAAGGCAGAAACATGAAGATCCCTGGGGCTTGGTGGCCAATCAGCTTAGCCTACTTAAGGAGCCCCAGGCCCCAGTAAAAGAACTTCCAAGAAACATCCAAAAAAGATAAACAGCTCCTAGGTATAATACCTGAGGCTGACTGCTTGATTTCTGGCCTCCACATGCACAAACACACAGGTGCACCCCCATGCATTCTGGGTACACACACATACATACATGCACACATGCACTCGCACACACATATGTACTCAAAATAGTGCATTAATCTGAATTTGTAGTTGAACTACTTGAGACCTGTATTTGGAAGGGGAGAAATGTATGTTCTGCCCTTAAAGTTATAAGTTTGAGGGCATTTTAGTATCAATTTCATTCATGTTAACTGAACTTTGGTTTTACTTCTAAAATTAGTCTTTAATGGGATGGGGATGTAGCTCAGTTGGTACAGTGTTTGCTTAGAAAGCACAAAGCCCTGGGGTGGATCTCCAGTACCACATAAGTGTGGCATGGTAGCACATGCCTATGATTCCAGGACTCGACTTGGGAGGAATAGACAGGAGGATTAGACATTCAAGATCATCTTTGGCTACATAATAAGTTCAAGGCTATCCTGAGTTACATGGGATCCTATTTGAAAAAAAATACTAAAATAAATCTTCAAACTTAAAAAGTAAAAACAAAAGCTTTCGTTGACTTGGAAGTAAGCAAGAGTGTGCTACTGACCCAATCTTTACAGGTGGCTCTTGGTTGATTTTGAGGAATCCTAGTCCTGGACTCAGTTTCTGCTCTTGGGGTAGAACTGATAATCACAGTGCCAAGCTTCTTATAGAAGGAGCTTTTTCTCAGAAGGCCTGTCTCTAACCATTTATACGTGCTTATCTCCAGGTCACAAAGAGGACAGCAAATCAGAGAGAAGCCAGTGCTGGGCCTGGGCCCATGCCAGTGTGGACAGATTTGCTGTGCTGTATGACCTGTGGACCTGGGAAGCAGCCCTTCTAGAAAGCAGACGTCAGGTACGATTTCCAGAAGACAAAACACTTCTTTTCAAGATTTTTTTAAAAAATATTTTTTATTTATTATTTTATTTTATGTGTATGAGTGTATTGCCTGCATGTATGTGAGTGCACCTGTGTCATGCAATGCTGTAGAGGTCAGAAGAGGGCTTCAGATTCCCCTGGAACTGGAGTTAAGGACGGTTCGTAGCCTCCATGTGGGTGCTGGGAATCAAACCCGGGTCCTCTGCAAGAGCAGTCAGTGCTCTTAACTGCTGAGCCATCTCTCCAGCCCCGATTTATTTTATTTTTAATTATGTGTGTATATGTGTGTCTTGCACGGGTATGTGCATTTGAGTGCAGGTGCCAATGGAGGCCAGAGATATCAGATCCCCCTGGTGCTGGAGATACAGGTAGTTGTGAGCTGCCTGATGTAGGTGCTGGGAACTGAACTTGGGTCTTCTGCTGAGCAGTCCATGTTTTTAACTGCTGAGCCATCTCTCCAGCCCTGGCAAAGCATCTCTTAAAGACCATTCTCCCAGTACTCAGGAGACGGAGACAGAAGGATTGCTGCAAGTTTGAAGCTACTCTGGGCTATATATGAGGTCCAGGCCAGCTGACTATACAAGACCCTGTCTGAAACAAACAACAACAAACTCTGTTTGTACCAAACCAAGGTTTTTTGTTGTTAAACCCAATGAGACTTTTAGGGAAACTCTCAATAAAGCAGATAAAAACAAATTTTAATTACTTAATTTACATTTATTAATCTCTCTCTCTCTCTCTCTCTCTCTCTCTCTCTCTCTCTCGGGACTAAACCCAAGGCCTTGCTCATTCTAGGCAGGTTCCCTACAACTGAGCTACAGCCCAAGCCCTCTTTCTACTTTTTATTTTGAATAAATCTCACTAAATTGCCCAGGCTTGCCTTGAACTCACTCGGTAGCCCACATAGGCCTTGAACTTGCAGTCCTCCTGTGTCCTTCCTCTGAGTAGCTGAGATTATAGGACTGTGGTACCACATCCAATTAAATTTTTCTTTACTGTGGTTCTTCATCACTAAAGATAACATGTGAAGGATATGACTTTATCTTTCAGGCATAATTTGTTAGAGGGCTCTATGATTTGGGCTTTTTTTAATGATATGTATGCTGTGGTGAGAATGGGCTATGGCTGCTCAGAATCATCCAGTCATAGGGAAGAGCCTGGCTTTGCTAAACAGGGGCAAACTGATTGAACAATCATGGCCTTTATAATTTGCTCATGGGTGGGTGTAAGTAGGGAAGCAGGGAGTGTTGAGGGCAATCGTTATAAAAAAGCAAAGAAATAGTAAGTAGCTAAACTACCAATTGCATCATCAATGGTTAACAGCACAGTAAGAAAACAAATGCTGCAGATGAGTTGGTCTTCATTATTACCCCTTCTGAGCATCACCAATTGTTAGGAAGGTTTTTAAATATTTATTTTTAATTATGTGTATGCATGCCGGTATGTGCACCTGAGTGCAGATGGCTATAGAGGCCAGAAGAGGGCATTGGGTCCCTTGGAATGGAAGCGACAGGCAGTTGTGGGCCATCAGATACAGGTACTGGGAACTGAACTCAGGTCTTCTGCAAGAGCAGCAAGTACTTTTAACCACTGAGCCATCTCTCTAGTCCCGTTAGGAGGATCTAAAAAAAAATAATAATAATCAAACACCAAGTGTTTACCCTTCTAGATAATGTTCTAGGAATATACAAATATAATAGAAAATGATTCCTATCTTTAAGAAATTTACAGTCTGTGCCAGGGGTAGTAATGTGCACTTTTAATCTCAGTCCTCAGGAGGCAGAGGCAGGCAGATCTCTGCAAGATGGAGGCCACTCTGGTTCACATCACGATTTCCAGGCAAGCTGGGACTAGGGAGACCCTGTCAAAAAAAAAAGGAAAAAAGAAAAGAAAAAGAAAAGAAATTTATAGTTTATGAAATTCATCCAATCTCAGGCTGGGCATGGTGTACATGCCTTTAATCCCAGTACTCAGATGGAGAAGCAGGCAGATCTCCATGAGACTGAGGTCAGCCTGGTCTACATAGTAAGTTCCAGGCCAGGTGTGACTACAGAGAGACCCTATCTCAAAAAAGACCAAAAAAAAAAAAAAAAAGAATCCAATCTCCAAACTAAAGGTCCAGTGGCTAACAGCTTATAATGGAGATACTTTCAAGAGTCATGGGAGGTGCTCTTTCTTTCTTTTGGTTAACTTGGCTAGCAGTCTATCAATTTTGTTTATCTTCTCAAAGAACCAGCTCTTGGATTTGTTGATTCTTTGTATTGTTTTCTTTGTTTCTATTTCATTAATTTCTGCTCTGATTTTTGTTATTTCTTCTTGTCTGCTGGGTTTGGGTTTCATTTGTTGTTGCTTTTCAAGTGTCTTGAGTTGCAATGTTAAGTCGTTTATTTGTGTTCTTTCTGATTTTTTAATGTAGGCACTTAGAACTATAAACTTCTCTCTAAGGACTGCTTTCAATGTGTCCCAGAGGTTTTGTTGTGTGTACTGTCCTTTTGGTTTAGTTCCAGGAATACTTTCATTTCTTTCTTAATTTCTCCTTTGACCCATTCATCATTCAGGAGTGTGTTGTTTAATCTCCATGTGTTCATGTGGTTACTGGAATTTCTTCTAGTGTTGATTTTAAGGTTTATTGCATTGTGGTCTGATAGAATGCATGGAATTATTTCAATATTTTTGTATTTGTTAAGGTTTGTTTTTTGCCCCAGCACATGGTCGATTTTGGAGACAGTTCCTTGGGGCACTGAATATAAAGTATATTCTTTGGTGCTTGGGTAGAATATTCGGTAGATGTCTGTTTGCTCCATTTGATACATGGTATTGTTTAATTCAGATGTCTCCCTGTTAATTCTCTGTCCTGTTGACCTATCTAATGGAGACAATGTGGTATTGAAGTCCCCTACTATTAATGAGTTGGGATTAATCTGGGTCTTAAAGTCCTGTAGTACTGTTTTTATGAAATTGGGTGCACCAGAGTTCATGAACATATATGTTCATGATTGTAATATCTTCTTGGTTTATTGTTCCTTTGATGAGAATGAAGTGCCCATCTTTGTCTCTTCTGATTAGTTTTAAAGTCTATTTTGTCAGATATTAGAATTGCTATGCCTGCTTTTTTCTTGGTACCATTTGCTTGTTATATTTTTTTCTATCCTTTCACCTTAAGGTAGTACCTGTCCTTTAAAGTGAGATGAGTTTCTTGCATACAACAACAAGATGGGTTTTGTTTCTTAATCCATTCAACTAGTCTGTATCTTTTGACTGAGGAATTCAGTCCATTGATATTTAAAGTTATTAATGAAAGATGTGTATTGAATCCTGTCATTTTTATTCCTGTTCACATTCTTGATATAGCTGTACTTTTCCACAGTTATACCTTCATTGAATTTCTTTCCATCACCCTTTGCATATAGTCATTCCTTTCGTCAGCTCTTTGCATTGCTTCAAGAACTCTCTGAAGGGCTGGTTTTGTGGACATGAATTCCTTCAGCTTATTTATGTCATGGAAGATTTTTCTTTCCCCTTCAACTATAGTAGACATTTTGTCTGGGTAAAGTAATCTGGGTTGGCATCTGTGGTCATTTAAAACTGGGAATACTTTGGTCCAGGCTCTTCTGGCTTTCATAGTTTGCACGGAAAAGTCAGCTGTAATCCTGATGGGTTTTCCTTTATATGTGACTTGTTTTTCTTTTGCAGCTTTCAGTATCGTCTCTTTGTTCTGAACATTTAGTGTTTTTACTATCATGCGCCACGGAGAGTTTCTTTTCTGGTCCTGTCTGTTTGGCGTTCTATGTGCTTCTTGTGTTTGTATGGGCATGTCTTTTTTTTACTTTTGGGGAATTTTCTTCTACAATCCTGTTGAAGATCTGTTCCATACCATTATATTGAGATTCTTCTCCTTCCTGCATGCCTATGATTCATAAAGTTGGCCTTTTTATGGTGCCACACAGTTCCTGCATATTCCATTCTTGTGTTTTCTTAAATTTTTCATAATCTTTGCTTGAGTGGTCTAGTTCATCCACTTTATCTTCCAGTCTTGATACTCTGTTTTCCATTTCATTCATCCTATTGGTGAGGTTTTCTCCTGCTGTTTCTAATTGGCTTAGAGTGTTTCACTTTCTTCTTCATTTCAGCCTGAGTATTTTTCAATATTTCTAACTCTTTTCTGAATTCATTCAGAAGTTTATCCCTATCTTCCTTCAGTTCTTTGTGTTCTTTAAATTCACTGAATTCTTTTATCATGTTTATAATTGTTCTTTTGAATTCCATGTCCTGTGTTATCTCTAGGGAGTTCTCATTATACTCCTCTACAGGACTGTTGGTACTTGGTGGGGATTTATTTTGGTTTTCCATGTTATTATTTTTTCTCTGTGACTTTGACATGTGAATTTCTTTTGTAGTTTCTGATTCTTGTGTGAGACTCAAGCCTTCCTTTGTCGAGTTTAGATCTTCTTCTTTTTGTAAACTTTATATGCCTTTGTGGTTTACTTGTTGGGTATGAAAAGCTGGTTGGTCTAGGCTTCAGGTTCTCTCTTTTGATTTTATATCAGAGTGGCCTAATTGCTTTTGTCTTGGGAAGTTCCACAGAGGCTCAAGTAAGATGAGGCTCAGATGCTTTCAGGCTTTCTCCTAAGGTCTGGGTCCCTCCAGGAAAGATGCTGCCCTCAGGAATTTGGGGGCTGGGCTGGCCTGGGAGTAGGGCCCAGGAAATATGCTGGCACCAGGATGCCCAGAGGCTGTGCCACCCAGGGCAATAAAGGGAGGTGAGGGCTGGACCAGGCCCAGAGGGCTCCTGGGGGCCACAGGGAGGAACTGGGTTGTTCCGGATGCAAAGGATCAGGAAGCAGTGATGGCTCTGGGCCGAGAGGTTAGCCCCAGTGTCTGGGGTGCCAAGACAAGAAATGGGCCTGTACCCAGGCTAGGAGGAGAGATGGCAGGGGAGCTGGGAGGGTGAAAGAGGCTGGGGGAGTCTTCTGTCT